TTCTTGCGGGAAAGTATCGCACAATGAAACAATTGCTGCCTCTGTGCTTTGAACACACTTTTCCCCCTGGGTCTGAGCCAGGGTCTGTCTTTGGGGACAGGAGTGAGTGCGAGTTACTTTCTGGGAAAGAACCATCTGACTTCAAGCCCTTTCTGTGTCAGGCTCCTCTTGAGGTTTGAGCTCACCCAGGCATTGCAGATTCTGACAACACCAAAGGCAGGAAGTTTAAGGGAAGGAGATCTACTGGGAAAAGCACGATGAGGCTCACTGTTAAGGCCCCCAAATGGCCATGAGCATTCCTTTGAGGCCAGAAGCCCCTCCATGTGACAGAGCTAGTTCAGACTCCTAGGTGTCAAGCATGACCCTGGGGCACTGAGCCTAGAATTTGAACTTGGTTCTGGAGCAGAAGTTCCAGATGCTCACTCCCAGGACTGTGCCAGTCCACGGTGACATTTCAATGGCGTGCCAGGAACTGCCAGCGTCAGGCTGACCACATCTTATTTGAGAAATCTTCCTAATTCTGAATACTAAAATCTCTTTTCTGTTAAAAAAAAAAGCCCATGCTTATGTTAATGACCACACCTGGCAAAATGAAAACTGGGTAGTGCTTTGCCTGTGTCCTCTCCCTTTCTCCACTCATAATTTAAAAAAATTTTACTGGTCTGTGAAATTAAATTCAAAGCTCTGGGAATCACTGTTCACTGAGGGTTGCAATCCGTTGCCGGACACGGAAAAAAGACAAAAAGACAAAAAAAAAAAAACAAAACAACAAAAAAACAAAATGGTCTGTAAGGACAAGCTAGAAAATCATTAAGAAGCGACCTCAGGGACATAATTGCTCTAATTTAATTAGTATTCCCATTAAGGAGGTTGAAATTAACAAGGAGAGAAAGTGCCTCCTAACACTCACTAAAGCAGTAGCTATGTGTGGTAAACCCTTCCCACTCTCCTTGAGAGCTGCTTCTCCAGATCATTTGTCTAATAAGCTCTTCATGGGATGTGTCTTGAGCTGGTAGCTGTTGAGAGAGGAGAGAACCACACCAGGTGGAGCCCCCACTGGTCCCACAGAACATGGCAAGGTAGCAACGGGTGCCCAGACCTGCCCAAACAGGCCAGAAAAGCTGCTCGTGAAGCAGAAATCCATCAGTGCCAGCCCAGAACCAGGTCAGTGAATCAGCACCTTGTCAAGCCCAAAGTCAGCCTGTGAGGGTCTGACTCACAAGTAGCTTCTACACTTAGCACACAAACCCCACGCTCTTCACCAGAGGAAAACAAGTCTCCTCTGACATGGGGCAGTAACACCTAACAGCCAGATGTGTTCTTAAAACTGTGTTGTTAGTGACCAGCTGGCCATCTCCACTGGTTTCCAGACATCTTCTAGGATCCTTAGGAATTATTCATTTTCAGTCCTCACAGTAATCTGCACAGTACGTAGCATTGTGCCCATTTTTACAGAGGAGGAAGTTGGGGCTCAAACAGGTAAAATGACCTACTCAGGATGACATGTCTTGCTGTCCAGTTTCATAGTCCATGCACTATGCATCCCTACCCTGCAACTCCTCATTTTCTGGAGAGGAATAATGTTAGTTCATGAGAGGCAAAGATCAGAGAGAAAAACATCAATGGTAGGGGCTTCCGGTCAAGATGGTGGAATAGACAGTCCCCAGCGTCATTCTCTCCCACAAATCAACCAATTTACAACTATAAAAAAGCAACAACAGGCAAGCTGGGGCCGCTAGAGCTCCAGAGAAGAGGAGGAGAGACCTACAAGGTGTATGAAAGTGGGAGAAGCCATGATGAGAGAAAGAAAAAACTGCTTCAACCATTTCAAGCTTCGGCCATGTTCAGGCTGGAGCTGCTGGGTGCATGGAGCAGGAGCCAGCAAAAGCCACAGCTGTGCCCTTCAGATGAAGCTGCTTGGAGGTGGCAGGGGAGAACAGGGCCATGGTGGCCCCAGACCAGCAAGACCACTAATAGGTTCCCGTGGACTCACACAGGACTGAAGAGCCACAACAACTGAAAAAAAGGAGCCACTCAGAGGTTGGTGAGTCATCGCAAGGGGCCGGTGCACGGCCCAACCCATGGGAAGTGTTTGTAGCATGGGTGGTGGGGGAGACGGGCCCACTGGGGGAACACTGGGGCACAGCAAGGACAGCTGATCTGTACCCTAATAAATGAAGGACCACTCAGAGGAGACTGATCAGGAATATAGAATTGCATGGAGTGCAGTTTGATGAAAATACTCAGGCCCAGACCAGAGTTTCTACACAACCCAGGTGCACTGGATCTCTCAGGAGCCGGAAGTACCCATAAGTCAACCATTAAAACCTGAGCTACACAAAAAGCCTTCCCTAGGGAATCAGCAGCAAAGCAGCAATTTAGCTCAACCACAGAGCTCAAGTACTGGTTCCCACAGGAAGTTCCCCCATTTTAGAAGCAAAGGACAACAAATTAGTAATCCAACACAGAAATGAAAAAACAACAAAGTACCCACAACCAGAGACAAAGTTCCATATTAACTAGTAAAGGTCTCATTTAACCAAAGAACACCTATAACACCTAGAAGGACAGGAAGTCCCCTGGGCTACCAAACCAGAAAAGGGAGAGGGCTGGAGGCCCCTGACACCCGCAACCAATACAGAGGCTGGAGGATGAGGGCATTGGCTATACTCCCTGACACCCACAGCCTGCCCAGCAGTGACCACTTAGCTGCCATAGGAAGCACCCCAGGCTCTCCCAGCTAGGGTTGGGGGGGGGCCTCAGGCCTTGGCCACATACCCTCAACACATACAGCCAGCCCAATGACAACCCTGAGCTGCTGCAGGAAACACCCTGGGCCTCCCAAGCTGGGGTTGTGGGGCACCAAGGGCCTTGGCCACGCCCCCCCTGACACCTGCAGCCAGCCCACCAGCGACCACTGAGCTGCCACAGGAAGCATACCAGCCTCTCCCAAGCCAGGGTGGTGGGGGGCTGAGGGCCTGGGCCACACCCCCTGACATGTGCAACCAGCCCAGCAATGACCACCAAGCCACAGCAAGAAGGGCCCCAGGTTCCCAAGCTGGGATGGTCGGGGGTGAGGGCTTTTGCACACCCCCATGACAGCTGCACCCAGCCTGGCAAGCCCCCTGGTCTCCCCTGCGGAATAAGGGGGGTGCCACAGGCCTCTATCCCACCCCTCCTCCTTTCTCCTTCTTCCATCCCATTTCCTTCCCCTTTCCCCTCCCACTCCCTCCCACCTGCTCCACAACAATATCCTAGAATGTAAAAAATAATAATAAAATTATGTTTTCTTTAAGAAAAATGTCAATATTAAAATTAAGAGCTGCTAACATTGGTCCCCAAGGCAAAAGTTGGCCCTTTGGCTGGATCCTAGAAGTAGGAATAATTTGGTCAAAGCATGGACCAGCTCCTGACATCTCACCTCCCTGCTGTAGGGGATTTCTATGGTGAGCAGTATCTCCTCCGGACTTAGCAGGGTCTTTCTGTAGCCAGGGAAGAAGGTGTGATCCATCTGAATAGTTCTCCTGGTGCCTGTACAGAGATGAGATGAAGAGGGATCCTCATGAGGGAGAGGCTGCGGACCACATTGGGGGCAGAGGACAACCCACCTGTGGGATTCTTCACTCTGGTCTCTGACGCCCACAGTCAGAAAGAGTGACCAGCACAATTGGAGCCAAGTCCTCCATCTGGAATCCTTAAGCAATGGTGTGATGGTGAATGTTTAACAACCAGATCTTCAGGGGAGGGGAAAAGCCCAGATCAGAAGCATTTGCCAGTTTCTGTGGTGTAAATACTCCCACCACAGCCACTTTCAAGCTACCAAAGTGACATCACTGAATGTGAAGTTGGGAAGAGGGCAGCAAGGAGTTAAGACTGCAGCCCTGAACACTATCCTCTCTCTGCAAGGCCTGTTTACAAGGTTGGCCCTTGACTGACATCTGGGAACTTGTATTTCAGAAAGTGTCCCACCATTCCATGATAAGAGTGACTCACTGCGCCTCAACTGTACAAACAACACAGTTATGCTGAGCTCCTGCTTTCCTTCTGGGAATTCTGACTTTTGGTATGTGCCAGGCAGAGGCTGCCTATGTGACCAGCCCCCCAGAAAACTCTTGGTGCTGAGTCTGTTACAATCTTCCCTGGTAGACAGCACCTCACAGGTATGTCACAACCCATTGCCAGAGGAAATAGGCATATCCTGTGTGACTCCACCGGGAGAGGGCTCTGGAAGCTTGTGCCTGTTCTCCTCCAGACTCTGCCCCATGCACCTTTCCCTTTGCTGCTTTCGCTTTGTGTCCTTCTGCTGTAATAAATCATAGCCATGAGTCTGACTTTATGCTAAATCCTCCTAGAAAACCGTTAGGTCTTGGGGACCCTCTGACAAGGCTTAGATGCACAGTAGTGCACCATTGTAGAGCATCTCCACTGTACAGACGCGATAGATGTTAATAACTTCACAAGCAGAGATAACAGTAAAATGAAGCAATTAGGAAGTGAACATTTTGAGTATTTATTATTACTAGCTGTCTAGTTTCATCGTCTGCCCCTGTGTATCCCCACCCTGCAACTCATTGTCTGGAGAGGAATAGGGTTGGTTCATTAGGGGCAAAGATCAGAGAGAAAAACATCAATATTAAAGTTGAGAGATGCTAACGTTGGTCCCCAAGGTAAAAGTTTTGAATATAATTTACTTCATTTCAAGTTTATATAATTTAATTTTTAATAATGGTTGTGTTTAACACACAGCTCACAGAATTCCTGAGAATCCAACAATTGGCAGTAGTGAGCCAGTGCATCCTAGCCTCAGCATACCACAGGGTAAGGCATCCAAGTGGCAGATTTTGTTGTGAATTCTTTATAAAGGAAAGGTCCAGCTCTCCTGGCCCCCAACCTCACTGCACCTCCTTTGCAGCTTCCCTGGATCCAAACCTTAGGACAACCGGGTTACTGAACTTTGGGCCCTGTTGTTCTAGAAATGACCTATTTGGTGAGACTTTTCTCCCCCAAGTCCTTCTTTCTGTACCTCTGCTTCAGGCAGCTCACCTCTGGACACAAGGGTCAGCTTGGCCCCGCTGGCCATGAACACAGGGTTGAGGTCGGAGATGGGGCTGGCAGTGATGATGTTCCCTCCAATGGACTAGGACAAGCAGAGAGTGTGCCATGAGAGCCCACCCTAGGAACCCTTGCTCACACATGAACCTACCGAGGACCTGCACCCCCTGTAAACACAAGACTGGCATACTAAGGACTTGGGCATTCAGAAAAATGTGCAAAACTTGAAATCAGAACACTTGGCATGGGAACCTAGCTCTGAATCTACCAGGCAAGCTCCTTTAAATTTGTTTGTTTGGTGCGGGCACGACACCGAGGGTTGCGATCCCGTTGCTGGTCACGGTGAGGGCGCGACACTGAGGGTTGCGATCCCGTTACCGGTCATGAAAAAAGACAAAAAGGAAAAAATAATAATAAATAAATAAATAAATAAATAAATAAATAAATTTGTTTGTTTGTTTGATTCTTACCCAACCTTTTTCTGGAAGGATTGAGGTGGTTTATCACAGAGGCCATTGAATTATTAAAATGGAAATGGAAGATAAGGATCAAGGAAAAAGAGGAGGGAGACTTAAGGTTGAACAATTTGCTCTATTTGGATCTGAACTTCTTGGCAACTTGGCAAAAATGTAAAGAGAATCAAATACAGAATTCTTATTATTAGGAAAGAGGAAGAAAATCAGTTGCACAATGAAAACAAAATCCTTCCTAGAAGTAGATTCTAGCAGAACTAGGGAACTCAGTAGAGATTTCTGAGTTTACACTTCCTCATCTATAATCAGAAGTGGCAGGTGCTAGGGGCAGGGTGAGGGAACTGGGAGTTGGCTGTTTTGTTCCATTTTAATTTAAAAACAATAAAAAAAAAATAGAATGGAAGGAATAGATTTCCTCTGAACACCATAAACTGCTTTGAACCCAAATGGCACAGGGTGTGTGAACCACTTGCAAACTGGGGTTTTGGGGGCCAGACTGAATGCCGATTATGAACAGTCGGTAGAGGGGCTCTGCCTCTGGTTCTCTCCTGGATTCTGAAAGGAAACCCCTCTCCCAATTTGGCTTCTCCCTAACACATCTCTCATTCACCTATGACAGTCTTGGCCAAGTTCAGGAAGAGGGAAGCAGGAAGCCATACCTCTCCAACCTCAGGGCTAAAGACTAAGAGAAAACGAGCGGATGTTTCTCAGAGTGGCCCACAGACCACCTTCATCAGAAGCACACAAGGGGCTTGTTAAAAACCTGGTCCTGGGCTCTATCCCAGACCCACTGTGTCAGAATCTCTGAGGTTAGGGCCTAGGAATCTGCATTTTAATAAGCACCCCCCAGGAATTTCTAAGCCCTATAGTCTGAGGCCCACTGGGCTAAAAATTGGGAGTCCGCAGCAGGCCACCCTGCTTTCTGATGCAAGGCCCCATCCTGTGGGCCTTGCTTGCATCTGAACAGAGACTCACCGCCACAGACTTGACTTGCTTCCCAGCAAACCAGCGCAGCTGCTCCAGGACTCCTCTGAACACCTCTGTTTTCTGGGCAGGAAGCTTAGAAACTGCATGAACTAGGGTCTTTTCCATACAGCTCAGGGTGCAAGCGGCCCCAAAGGTGATACCTGGGGACACATACATGTTCAGAATAACAGCAATCTCCATTAAAGCTCAGAAAATGCTTTCATATACAGCTGCTTGAAGCTTCACAGCAACCCAAGCAAGGTTGAATCAGGACTCACATTTTTAAATGGTTGAGGAAATGAGTCCCAGAGAGGTTAAGCAACTTAACCAATGCCACACAGTTAACAAAAGAGCCAGGACCCAAGCCCAGGCCTCTTGATCCTACAGCCGATGTCCAGTGGTTTTCAACTCAATAAAACCAGAATCTCTGGGGCTGAGGTCCTGGTAATTTTTTTAAAAAGCACCCAAGCACTCCCCGCAACCCAACACTCTCCCCCACATCCCCCACCCCATGAATGATTCTAATGTGTAGCCAGGACTGACAGCAACTATTGAAAATCTCACAGCCTCTTGCCCACTGGGACCCTACCATGGCGCTTGGTAGAGAAAAGGCAACGAAGGGTGTCCCCTTCCCCCGACACCTCCTGGGCAGGGTAGCAGAAGCAGGTGGCATCCAGAGCCAAAGGGGAGCCCACCCTATCACCTGCCATCCCCCCTCAGGACCCACCCCCAGTATCACAGCCCCTCTGTGGGCTCAGGGCAAACCTCCCCATACCCTCCGGTCCATGCTCTACTGAATTCAGCTCCGGGATCCAGGCTGGGCAGACGATCACAGGAAACAGCTTGTTCTTGAACTTCATCTCAATGCCTTGAGAGAATCAAGAAGCCTGGAGTTAAAGCCCGTTGTTGTTTCGTTAGGGCAGCCTCAGCAGTTTTCCCACCATTACACATAGGATACAGGACATACAATCATAACATGCTCCGTGGGTGTCTCAGGATGAGGAAATGCAGTGGACAAGGTGTGGAATTAGGCACAGTCTCTGGACTTTCAGCCCTGAAACTCTTGTCTTTCTCTCTCTCTCTCAAAGAAATCTATCCAAATTAAAATGACATGAACTTGAACTCACCCTAGTGTGTGTGTGCACGCGTGCATGTGTGCAATAGCAACATGAGAAAACACAGGGAATTAAGGTATGTTATGAACTCTTCTAAGCACTTCCTATTTTAACTCATTTACTCTTCACAATGACCCTGTGAGTACTGTGATTGTCTCTGTTTATAGACGAAGAAACTGAGACACAGAGAGCTTGGGTTTCTTGCCGAAATCCCACAGCTAAAATAGACAAATATCAATACTTGAGCTATATTGTCTCTGTTTATAGACGAAGAAACTGAGACACAGAGAGCTTGGGTTTCTTGCCGAAATCACACAGCTAAAATAGACAAATATCAATACTTGAGCTATCGTTAGTGTTAAGGTATAATAGTAATAAAAACACGAAAGTCTAACATTAAAACAAAAAAGAAAAATAGGAGGGAAAACCTCAAATCTGCCTTCCAGTTCCCAGTATCAATCTGAGTTCTTCGAGGTGTGTGGCTTTTGGGGGCCACACATCTGTGTCCAGTTTCTGTCCTTCCCAACTGATCATGTCAGAAAGCTCTGCAAAGCAGACAAGCCTCTGTCCCTCAGACCAGCTGCATGGCACCTCTCCCAGCCCCGCCATAGGGGCTACAGATGGGAAAGGTTAAAAAGGAAATGCCTGTGTGCACCTCCACCCCAGGTGCTGTTTAGGATTTTGGAAGGGGGGTCCCAGGCTTTGAGAAGTCTGGCTTGTTTGAATATCAGCTCCCAGGACAAAGAACACAGATTGAAGTAGTAAGTCCTTTCTTGATAAAGTTTTCTCTATACCCTCCTTCCCCAATACCCTGTACTAGCTGCGGGTGGTTACACTGTTGGGCTCTGTGCGTAGAACAGATGGAAGTGTCTTAAGAAATTATTTCCAAATGCAGAGCCTATAAAATTTTTGTGAATTCCTTTCTCTTTGAATCCAGGGCATGGTATGACTTGGGTTCAGGACATGATATGACTCAGGGCAAAGAGCATGTCAAGTGTCAAAGGATCTACTAAGATTCTTCCAGCCACCTTAAATTATGCTACCCCTGGACCCTAGGGCCATGACTATATGGGCCATGAGTCCTATTTAGCCACAGTTATCAGAGTCACATCACTTGAAGCCACCCTGCTGCCCCCGCACCCCCCTGCTACCCCCGTGTGTCCCAGAACTACAGCTGGGGCCTCTGCTCTGTATCTGTGCTCACAGGGGCCAGCTGTGTCCTCCATCAGCACTGAACTGAGTCAGGACCCCTCTCTGCAGCTGAGAATCCAACCAGAATCCAGGAGAGAGGGGCTCCTTCCAGAACCAGAGCAAAGAGTCTTCCACAAACTGGACTTGACTGCTTAAAAGTATATCATGCCCCCCCCAAAACCAGAGGCACCTCTGACATCTCTCCCTGTCTCTTAAAGCACCAGGGCTGAGAGCTGCATATCCTGAGCCTTTCTGGCCTGTTCAACTATTGAGGGCCTCCTCATGGCCCAGGTGGGGCACCAACAGGGCAGGTAGCCATGGTCATAGGCAACACAACCACAGTCACATCTGGACATCTCCTGTCCTTTACCTTATCACACCATTCTCCAGAAAAATGGCCAGAGAGGGGGAAGAGTGACATTTATGGAACCCCTAGTGTCCATTAGACACTTGCCCAGACACTTTGCCTATATCACTCCCTCCTCCCTTAGACTAGGAGAGCCTTGAGGAGAGGAATCATGTCCAGTTGGTCCTTGTATCCCAAGCCCTTCCCAGAGTACATGGATCACAGCTGGCACTTTGCAACTGTTTATGGAGAAAAACCACCAAGTATGCAAGGATCTCATTTAATCCTCAGAACAACCCTTTGAGGAGTTAGCATTGCCCTCATAGAAGAAATGGGAAGATGCAGGTACAGCAGGACAAGGAACTTTTCTGAGGACACACAACCAGCAAGTGGTTGAACCAGATCTCTGTGACTCCAAAGCCAGGGGTCTCTGCAGGAATTCAAGTGCCAGGGCTCCTCTGTGGTTCCCAGGCAGTCAGTGGGGCAGGGGATGGGGTGCAGGCAGGCCCCAGCGCCACCCAGCCCTTACCGATCTCCGTGTTCCCCACCACTAGCTTGGCATCGGGGTGCTGAGCTTTGAGGTCCAGCAGCTCCTGCAGGGTTGAGGCCTGGATCCACGTCACACGCTCCCCTTCAAAACGAAGCTGCTTCCGAGGAATGTCTTTCAACCTCTGGGAAATGTCATTTTCTTACCACACGGTCTCCTTCTTTTTACTGCCATTCCCCTGGCAAATTGCTTTAAGTCTGCAATGGGATCAACTCTTCTATTGACTTGTTCAATACTGAATTCAGAAGGAAGATCCATGTCGGAGGAGAAGTGAATGGGAACTAACACATACCGAGGCAGAAACTCTATGGGGCTATTAAATACACACTTCGTCTTGAGAGGACCTCCAGGAAGGAGGCATTGTCAGCCTCAGTTTTACAGGTGAAGGGGGAACCTGAAGATTAAGAAAGGGATGGGACCTGCTGAAGGCCACCAGCATGAGAGGACCCAAACCGACCTGGCTGAAAGCCCAGGTTCCTTGCAGTACCCCACGCTGTCACCAGGAGGCGCAGTGGACAAGGTGTGGGAAGGGATGGAAGTTGGGAAGGAAGAGGTGGTGTCAGAAGGGAATGCAAAGGAGGACTGGCTCTGACGTGGGAAAGGAAGCCCCCACATCAAGCTGACAGTGTTGACAAGGTTTTGCAATCCAGAGAAAGGTCTGCCAGCAGCCTGCAGCATAGCCACTCTTTGCAGCCTGTTGCAACCTACCAGGCAGTCTTCATGAGCTCGATCGACACCCCCGAGAAACGAGCACATGGAAAACTCTGAGCATGACTTGATTCTTTCCTTGCCATAAATGTTGGAGTGAAGGTGAGAAAGTAGCTGTGAGAAAGTGTCCTGAAAGCAGAGCTGCAAGCCGTGAATCGTGTCCTTTTAATAGAGCTCTCTCCCTTTGTGTGTGTGTGTGTGTGTGTGTGTTTTTTTTTTTTTCNAAGAACACAGATTGAAGTAGTAAGTCCTTTCTTGATAAAGTTTTCTCTATACCCTCCTTCCTCAATACCCTGTACTAGCTGCGGGTGGTTACACTGTTGGGCTCTGTGCGTAGAACAGATGGAAGTGTCTTAAGAAATTATTTCCAAATGCAGAGCCTATAAAATTTTTGTGAATTCCTTTCTCTTTGAATCCAGGGCATGGTATGACTTGGGTTCAGGACATGATATGACTCAGGGCAAAGAGCATGTCAAGTGTCAAAGGATCTACTAAGATTCTTCCAGCCACCTTAAATCATGCTACCCCTGGACCCTAGGGCCATGACTATATGGGCCATGAGTCCTATTTAGCCACAGTTATCAGAGTCACATCACTTGAAGCCCCCCTGCTACCCCCGTGTGTCCCAGAACTACAGCTGGGGCCTCTGCTCTGTATCTGTGCTCACAGGGGCCAGCTGTGTCCTCCATCAGCACTGAACTGAGTCAGGACCCCTCTCTGCAGCTGAGAATCCAACCAGAATCCAGGAGAGAGGGGCTCCTTCCAGAACCAGAGCAAAGAGTCTTCCACAAACTGGACTTGACTGCTTAAAAGCATATCATGCCCACCCCCTCCCCCAAAACCAGAGGCACCTCTAACATCTCTCCCTGTCTCTTAAAGCGCCAGGGCTGAGAGCTGCACATCCTGAGCCTTTCTGGCCTGTTCAACTATTGAGGGCCTCATGGCCCAGGTGGGGCACCAACAGGGCAGGTAGCCATGGTCATAGGCAACACAACCACAGTCACATCTGGTCATCTCCTGTCCTTTACCTTATCACACCATTCTCCAGAAAAATGGCCAGAGAGGGGGAAGAGTGACATTTATGGAACCCCTAGTGTCCATTAGACACTTGCCCAGACACTTTGCCTATATCATTCCCTCCTCCCTTAGACTAGGAGAGCCTTGAGGGGAGCAATCATGTCCAGTTGGTCTTTGTATCCCAAGCCCTTCCCAGAGTACATGGCTCACAGCTGGGACTTTGCAACTGTTTATGGAGAAAAACCACCAAGTATGCAAGGATCTCATTTAATCCTCAGAACAACCCTTTGAGGAGTTAGCATTGCCCTCATAGAAGAAATGGGAAGATGCAGGTACAGCAGGATGAGGAATTTTTCTGAGGACACTCAACCAGCAAGTGGTTGAACCAGATCTCTGTGACTCCAAAACCAGGGGTCTCTGCAGGAATTCAAGTGCCAGGGCTCCTCAGTGGTTCCCAGGCAGTCAGTAGGGCAGGGAATGGGGTGCAGAAGGGTGAGCATGGGCAGGCAGGCCCCAGCGCCACCCAGCCCTTACCGATCTCCGTGTTCCCCACCACTAGCTTGGCATCGGGGTGCTGAGATTTGAGGTCCAGGAGCTCCTGCAGGGTTGAGGCCTGGATCCACGTCACACGCTCCCCTTCAAAACGAAGCTGCTTCCGAGGAATGTCTTTCAACCTCTGGGAAATGTCATTTTCTTACTACACGGTCTCCTTCCTCTTACTGCCATTCCCCTGACAAATTGCTTTAAGTCTGCAATGGGATCAACTCTTCTATTGACTTGTTCAATACTGAATTCAGAAGGAAGATCCATGTCGGAGGAGAAGTGAACGGTAACTAACACATACTGAGGCAGAAACTCTACGGGGCTATTAAATACACACTTCGTCTTGAGAGGACCTCCAGGAAGGAGGCATTGTCAGCCT